AGCCTAAGGCAGATGCTTAACGACAACTGAGCCACTCAGGCACCCCTTCCAGGTAGTCTTTCTTTTTTTTTTTTTTTAAAGATTTTATTTATTTATTTGACAGAGAGACACAGCGAGAGAGGGAACACAAGCAGGGGGAGTGGGAGAGGGAGAAGCAGCCTTCCCGCGGAGCAGGGAGCCCAATGTGGGGCTCGATCCCAGGACCCTGGGATCATGACCTGAGCCTAAGGCAGATGCTTAACGACGACTGAGCCACTCAGGCACCCCTTCCAGGTAGTCTTTCTTTTTTTTTTTTTTTAAAGATTTTATTTATTTATTTGACAGAGAGACACAGCGAGAGAGGGAACACAAGCAGGGGGAGTGGGAGAGAGAGAAGCAGGCTTCCCGCAGAGCAGGGAGCCAGACGTGGGGCTCGATCCCAGGACCCTGGGATCATGACCTGAGCCGAAGGCAGAGGCTTAACGACTGAGCCACCCAGACGCCCCTCCAGGTAGTCTTTCTTAAGGAAACTTATGTATATTAGAATTATATGTTCAAATTCCTTTGTTTCTAATGGGAAACCATCTCCCCAACATCCTGCTTAAAAAATATTTTTAGTGTTTTAATCTAACCATTTTCACGGCAGTAGATCATCTATAGGTTACATTCAATGTCTTGTGGGTAAGCTACAGAGCAGTGTTGGTTTAAGGGCCTCCTTACACTCTATTCCTAACTAGATTATCTCAAGATAATAGTGGGTTTCAATAGTGCAAGCTTATTACTTAAAACCACTTATGAAGAAGTAATTAAAATATAAGCTAGCTGAGCACCCTAGGAAATTTTAGCACAGTACCTTCCTTATGCTAAAAGACAATTTTGTCCTTCTCATGCCTCCCTGGATAGTTTCTAGAAAAGTTATTTGTATGGTGCCACCATGTTGAGAAACCATATATCTTAACAAGGTTAATATCAGTGACAGTGGAACTCCTTGCAGTGTAGTCTTTAATGCAATTTAACCAGTAAAGTATGAGGACATGCCAGGTACTGCATTAAGAACTAGGAGTACTGTGAGTATTCATTTTGTATGTATAAAAATATTAAGTTTCCATGATGTAATATGATAAGTACTAATTTAGAAGTACGCATCATATTCATATCAGATTTGAGAATCAAGAGACCTATAGAATCCCCAGACCTATAGAAAAAAATGAACCAATTTGGTAATATTTTTTTTTCTCTAGAACCTGGATGTGGGAGGGTTAATTCATTTTATATAGGTCAGAAAACATCTGATTAGCACTAACTTGTCTAGTGTTCATAATTCAAATGAGTGAGAATGTTACTGGAATTGCTAGTTCCCTTATCTTTTAAAACACCCGGTCTCCCTTGTGAGTGTTCTAAAAATGCAAATTATGTAACATGTACCTACTTAACTAGAATTATTTCCCTATATTATGTAATATATCATAAAATATTTTTAAAGTCAAGTCACTACCTAAAGGTGATAGTATTTCTAAGAACACTTAATGTGGCTATCACAATTTATATAAATTAAAATACTTTTGAGACTGAAAGCTGCAAAAAATATTTCTCTAAAACTGAAGCAATTTTTTGTTACCTATGAAGCAGAAAAGTTTTAATGGGAATCTGTGAACTATTTGTCACTGTAATTTGAATTCTTTAATCTATTATGGATACTTCACAATTCTTTTAATTAATTTTTTTGATGTAATGTTCCATGATTCATTGTTTGCATATAACACCCAGTGCTCTATTTAGTATGTGCCCTCTTTAATACCCATC